AGAAGATCAGAGAAATTAAAAATCCTGAAGGACATATGGAAATTAGTGTCCTGTGTAGATAAAGCTAGCAAGTGGCAATGCTGGATTTAACTCAAGCTCAAAGTTTTCTGACTCCAAAGCATAATCTCTTTTTCATTGCTTCTTAGAGAATTACTTAAGTAAGTAACAGAAAATGAGCAAGAGGAAGGCAGTGATTCTGTGCGTGTGCATGTGTGTGTGTGTGTGTGTGTGTGTGTGTGTGTGTTTTAAGTTGCAGAAGGTTTAAAGCACTATGTCAGTATCCTCTGACGTATGGCTTGTGCCAGTCTACATCAGCTTTTGGAGTTTCTTTCCACCAGGGAACAACATTAGATACTTCCACTCAGGAAAGTAGCCAGAGCAAGATTCAACATGTACAAGTCTGAGAAATGGCTTTCAGATAGATTTAATCCTGTATCACATTAGAGCTGGCATTTATGGGATGATAGAACCTTCTTCAGATGCCTTTCACGTAGACATCTCCTAGTGAATGGATTTAAGGGCCACACAGAATATTCTCCACCTTCACATCTGCCAAAGAATATTTCAGAACTGCTGCGGACCAAGACTTCTGGAATGCTTCTAACACTTTCTATCTATCTATCTATCTATCTATCTATCTATCTATCTATCTATCTATCTATCATCTATCCATCTATCTATCATGTATCTATCTTCTATCTGTCATCTATGTGTGTGTATGTGTATACAAGTTCATATGTGTGCATGCATGGAGAAGTCAGAAGACAAACTTAGATGTTGTTCTTCAGGGGTTATCCTTCTTGTTTTTTGAGACAGAGTTCTCACTAGTCTAGAACCATCCAGGTAGGATGGACTTGTTGGCTAGTGAGCCCCAGGGACTTCCCCAGCACTGGGGTTATGCTCATATACCACTGTGCCTGGCTTTTGTTACATGGGTTCAGAGCCTTTGGCTTGCAAGATAGGCTCTTTCCAACTGAGCCATTTCTCCAGCCTTCCTAAGTGGTAAATTGAAATTTAAGTGGTAAAATGAATTTAAATTTCAGGACCCAAAGACTTTGAAGGTGTATTCCTAGTTTGTAGTTTAAGAAGAAGGTGTATAGGTGACCAATTGAAACACCTAGCCATAAAACTAAACAGAGCTAGATGGTATAATAGGTAAAGTCCTACCAAATTCTATTCTGGTGAACAAAATAGAAGGCCAGTCTATGTTCACAAGTAAATAGACTTAATAGACATAGGAAGACTATTACATGAAGAAAAACCTGGTAAATAATCACAATGACTATCTTCCATCTTCATCCAACTTTCTGCTATTTCTGAGATGCCCCTTACCTCCCTCACTTCCAAATCAGTCTGGTCTCCATATGGCAAAGCTATTTTTGATAGACATTACTCCGATATCATCTCTATACTTAAAACTCTCCAATAGTTCAGCTTTATCTAGGGTAAAACTCAAGCCATGGTGAACTCAGCAGGTCTACCTTTCATTCCCGGCCCTGTCCTTACCAGTGTCCTCTCAGCTCTGTTCCAGTCACAGTGGCCTCCTGCCTGCTCACACTGGATAGTGTCTTCCAAGCAGGCTTTGCACTGTCATCTTCTTCACTAGGCTACTCTCCCCTTTATCTATCATCTATCTGTCGTCTATCTATCATCTATCTATCTATCTGTCTATCTATCTATCTATCTATCTATCTATCTATCTATCATCTATCTACTATTTATCTATTATCTATCATCTATTCATTTTGTTCTTTTGTTGATTGTTTTTTGACAGGGTCTCCCTAGTCACAGTCCACCTGGAAGTCATGATGTGAACCAGGGTGGCCTTAAGGATCTTACAGAGATCCACTTGTTCTGCCTCCTGGAGGCTAGGGTTAAAGGCGCACACCACCACGCTCAGCATCATTTCCTCTTTTTTAATAGAAGTGCACTTTGGTGCGTGAGAGTGCGTGTGTGTGTGTGTGCGTGCATGTGCAAATGTGTATTTGTGCATGTGTGTGTATGTTTAAGTGTGTGCTTGTATATATGGGCACATGTACATGTTTGTGTGTATGCTTGTATGTGCATGAGTATATGTTCTCATAATTTGTGCCAGTGTCTGTATGTATTTTTTGCATGTGCATGTGTGTATTTGTGGGTGCATGAGTATATCTGTGTATGTTTGTGGGTGTATGTTATCATGTGTACAGGTTTGTGTATATGCATGTGTGGGTGTTTGTTTACAGTGTGCATGCACATTTCTGTGTTTATTTGTGTGTAGGCATATATATTTGTGTGTATATGTTCTCATGTATGTTTGTGTGTATGCATATGTGCCTTTGTTTATATGTGTACTTGTATGTTCCTGTGTTTTTTGTGTGCATGAGTGTTTGTGTATGCATGTGTATGTCTTTGTGTATGTTTGTGTGTGCATATGTGCATATCCTTGTGTATGTGCATATGCTTTTGTGCGTATATGTGTGTGTGTAAGTGTGTTGGGGGAGTGCAGAGTGATGTTTGGGTCTCTGGGTCGAGTACAGCCCCATCTTGATCTGCCATGGAACCTCTTCACATCTCGTCCTGAGGAAAAGGTCAGCAGGCATCCCTCAGAGAACTTGGATATTGAACTTGGAGTCAGAACTTGGGTTGTCTTATCTGGAGAGGAGTGGGTGCACTTTTAAGTGGGAAAGAGAGATAAATACTAGTTGACCAGGTGGATAGACTGTGGTAGTTATCAGTGTTATTAATACAATGTTTTCAGATTCCCCTCCAGACATTTTATATCTGTCACTTCCTTGTCCTGTTAGCTGCAGCCAGATGATTTGCTTTGGGCAATAATTTGTGAATATAAATGACTGGCACCACTGATAAGGGGAAACTTTATGAGCTTAACCACAGACTGCTGTGCTTTCTTCCCTTCTTTCTAGGTACCCAGGGAGATGGCTGCTAGGCCTGCTTGGGTCCCACACTGAGGATAAAACAGAGAAGAGATCTGTAATGAATATCAACTGACATGTATTAATTAATTGAGAATTGGGCATGCTTGTCACTGCAGGACAACAGCCTATTCTAACTAATTCAAGAATCATCTTCAATCATCTTAATTATTTATAAGCTCACTTTTTATTTGGCATGACCATTTTCCCACTCTAGGTAGTAGGCATATAACAGTACTTGTAGCTGGCTTTGCAATGGTCAAGGCAGGTTACGGGTTGGGGTGACAAGAATCCAGGTGTGGTCTTGGAGGGCCTCCATGAAAGAATCCTTGTAAGGTTTGTGGGCAGACTTACCTAGGACTATCTTTTGATGGGAATTCTCCAGGTCATGTCCAGTAGTATCCATGTGGTATCTAGCTGGGGCATTGAGCCACACCAAGGCTATCACTGTGGCACAGCTCTGTCCAGTGGTTAATGATTTCTGTTCAACCTCTAAGTCAGTGACTTGCTAGACCTGCTAGTTTAATGGGCTCCTAACAGATGGTACAGTCTCCCTCTCCTGGTAATCTAGGGGAGCCTGCAATACTTAACTAAGTCTTATGATGTTAAAAGGTCTTGTCAGCCTCAGGACACAGATACCAGCCCACAGGCACCTGTGTCTCCCCTAGTTTACTCCTGAGTCAACTGGTCCATAGAAGACAAATTATTATACTGTTGGTCCTACATACTCACAGATTCTGTGGTGAATCAATCTTTTAAAAAACTGAATCTGTACTGAACATTTACAGACTCTTAAAATTCCTAAATAATACAATAGAACAACTATTTACATAGCCTCTGTACCGCATTATGGGGATATTTAAAGTATGCAGGAGAATGTGTGTGGGATATATGTAAGAACTATGACATCTTAAGTGAGCTTGAGAAGATTTTGGTATCTATATGAGGTACTAGACCCAACCCCGCAGGATGACTAAGGGAGGACTGTACTGTAGCTCACCTGTGCCCCTCACCCCCAGCTCACAAACCTTGAACACTTCAACAGAATTCATGATCTCAAAATGCTAATCTGTTTACTTGGGAGCATCTTCCTTCCTTCTAGGCTTCTCATTGGTCCTTCAAAGAGCTCCCAGCCTTTAAGAGAGCAGAAACAGACTCCAGCTGAATGAAACAGAAAAGTTGTAGGAATGCATGGACAGCTGGTTATCTTGCTTCTCAGGGGAAAATAAGGTTGGCTGGGAGATTAGAAGAGAGTCATGGCTCAGGAAGAGAGGAAGGAACAGGAATGAAGACCACTCAGTGGGGAGGGGGGGGCAACTGGGCCTCTGTCCTAACAGGCCAAGGCTAGGGCTGAGGGCTGAGCTGACCTTGTCTTGAGAGTGGTCTCATGGCCTATGGTCATCTTGGTTTCTATAACCCTGGGTATACATGTGTCTTCTGAACAGAGGTCAGGGGCTTGAACAACTTGAGAGATGATAAAGAAAGATCAATGGGTCTAGAGAGATGGCTCAGCAGTTAAGAACTCTGGTTGCTCTTGCAGAGGACCTGAGTTGATTCCCAGCACCTACATGGTGGCTATCAGCTGTCTGTAACTCAAGTTTCAGGGGATATGACACCCTCTTCTGATCTCCACAGTCACTGCACGACATGGGTGCATTTACACACATGCAGGCGATATACTCATACACATAAAAAAAAAACAATAAATAAAATACTTTAAAAAGACAGATCATTGGTTTCTAAGAAACTTGAACCAGTTGGCAATTTTAATAAAAGAGTCTTTAGTTTTTCTCTACAAACTTCCAGCTTGGAACCAGTTAAGATTCTAGAACAATGAACAGGCTTAGTAATTCAGAGGCAACCGTGAACCTGTCCAGGCTGATCTAAAATTAAAATCCTTTCCCAAGCCACGTGTTCTGTTATTATCTCAGATTACTGTCTGGATTAATGCTATTTTCATTGTTTAGTAAGGTGTTAGCATTTTTTTTCTGGCTATCTCTTGTGCTGATTGCTTTTTGTTTTTCTTGAATTAGCATTTCTCCTAGATGGCACACAGTGATGAGAGACGGCTTTATTTAGGGTTACCTTGCCAACAGGCACCGACGGTAAGTTGCATGGCTATATGAGATGGGTGAATGGGCCAGTCATTAGTCACCAGGTATGGCTCGTATGTTGCTCCATCCATGTATAGAGTAACCACAGGAAACTCCACATTGATGACATAGTAATGCCATTCTTTGTCACAGATCTAATGAAAAAAGAGAAAGAGAAGCAGCTTAAAATGAATCTACAATGCAACACTAAACAGCCTTTCTAACTATAATTATGAAAGAAGGAGATGACATTTCGGGGTCAACAATTATTACCTCAAAAACTCAAAGAACATAATGTTGATGTGTATCATGCATTGAAGCTATCAAGCTCATCATCGAACTCAGTGAGAAGAGAAATACAAACGAATCTAGTCATCAGATGAATATAGTCATCCTTCAGCATTCACAGGATTGGCCCCATGAACCTCCACTAACCCCAAAATCTGCAGATGCTCAAGTTCCTTGTATAAAATGGTACTGCATTTGCATATACCGTATGCATATCTTCCATGTACTTTAAATCAGCTCCAGATTACTTATGCTACACAATACAAAGTAAATTCTATGTAAATAATTGCTATACTGTATTGCTTAGGGGCTGACTACGAGAAAAGAACAACTCATATTCAATACAGGAGCAATTTCTTGCCTGGGTGAATGCATGGATACAGTACCTACAGACACAGAAGGCAGCACATCTATTATTGGACAATAGGCAGAACATCTTGTTCACTACTTATTTAGGCTAGCAAGATGTTGGTGAACAGGTAGGAATGTCTGATTAAATTTCTTTGGATCAAATTTCTCTCAGTTCTTCAGTAAAGAAAAACATTCAATTGAAAACATTTTTTTTTTCCTGAGGCTGGAGAGATGTCAGTGTGGTTAATAGCACATGCTGCTCTTGCAGAAGATGCAGGTTTGGTTCCCAGCATCCACATCAGGCAGCTCACAACCACCTGTAACTCCAGTTCCATGGGATCCATCACTTTCCCCTGGCCTCTGCAGGTACTGCATGCATGTGGTTCACAGACACGTAAGCAGACACCTACATATACACACAAAAATAAATTTTAAAAATTTAGAAGGAAAGCATTTTTATAGTTTTGGGATAGATAGGGCTGTAATAGGAACAGTGCTACAGTGGAAATAAAAATAAAGATAAAGGAGGGGAGGAGGAAGAAAGAAGGAAAAATGAAAGAAGAAAAGGCAGAGGGAAAAATTCAGAGTTTGAAAGGAGTAAGAAAAGGCAGTGAACACAGAGAGAGGAAGAAGCAGGAGACTCAAGAGGATGTGGAGGGCCTAAACCCTTTGTCTCTGTGTTAAGTAAGATTTTTCAGAGGAGCTGGGGTAGCTGGGCCTTTCATCAATTCAAGGAAAACAAATTCCAAGGGAGACGGACTTTTCAGCAGGACTCAGCCTTTCTCTATCTTGGGACACCTGGGGAGGCAGAGAGGGACCAGGATGAAACCTTCTGACCTGTACTAGGAACTGGATACACTTAACATGTCCTGTTCTACCTAGGACTCCTGTTTGCAGGGCTAGAAACCAGCCTTAATGAATTGGAGAGGTGGGAGTGGGGGACTAGGATGGTTTCATGGTTGATTTTGACCATCAACTTGATTGGACTGAGAAACACAGGGAATTAGTGAAACCCACATCTGGTATATCTGTCAGGGCCTTTCTGGGGATGACTGCCTCCTTCTCTGACCTAATGAATGGATTAATCCCTTAGTGGGCTCATAGTATGACTGTTTGACTGGGATGTGTTGAAAGGTTAGGGAAGTGGGATCTAGTTGGAGGAAGCAGGTCATTACAGATGTGTCCTTGGGGCTCTAGCTCACCCTGACCATGTCTTGTGCTCTGTGTTTGCTGATGACAATGAGGGGCTCTTCTCTGCCATTCCCTCTTTGCTATGAAGGACTGACATCCCCGAAATCATGAGCAGAAGGAAATCTGGTCTTCCTTAATATATTTGATCACAGTGACACAAAAGTAACAATACAGGCAGAGTCATGATTCCTTGAGGGACTGAACTCGTACAGCACAATCCAAAACAGAAGCCAAGACTGGCATGTCCTGGGAAGACAGGAAGCTTAAAGGGTAGCAAGGCTGAAGATTCGTGTCTCGCCTCCCTCTGGGCATGCCTAGACTCTCCCCTTCATAGTCAATCTCCTTCACACCCACTGCACTGCACCCTGCTGTGTCCTCTGAAGTGTCTCTCATCCTCTGGTCTCCATCACCCCTGCCATCTGTGGAAAGGGAGGCAGATGAGTTCTGCATGAAGGTGACCTCAAGGTGAGGGCATCAAAGCCCTCCCTCTGTCCTGCACTGGATTAAATGTGCTGTTTCTCATGAATAGATAACACCAACAGGGATGCTAAATGATCTTTTCCCTTTCATTTTGGAATAAGAATTTTTCCTTAATGTTCTTTTTATATTGTCCTGTCTCATATCTCAGAAAATTACTCTGTTTGAAGCCCATTAGTCTGATAAAGCCTGATGAATATTTTAGGGGACTTTGGGAGGAAAGCAGGAAGGATCTAGGCAGGTCACTCCAATGTCTTGTTGCACTCAATGAGAAGCTCTGACTCAGTTTACACTCTTCTCCTGATTGACGTCCTGGACTAGACTCTGGCTGGATTCAGAGCTTTTGGGTTGAACTGCAGCAGGATATTCCCAGGTTGTAGGGGTGGTACCAAAAAAGCCCTGAAGACAAGAGTCTGGGGCTGATGAAAGAGTAGGGTACCAAAGGGAGACTTTGAATGAAGCTCCCTGGACTTGGGACTGGCAATTGAGGACAACCAGGCAGTAGTGGAAGCCTAGAAATGGCTCAGATCCTGGGGTACTCTCAGGGGCATCTAGAAATGTCTGACCAGGTCCAGGGTGACAGTGAGGAACTCCTGACCATGCCATCACGTGAGTAAAGTAACCAGATGAGAGATATCCATCCAGGTGGCACATGATGACTCCCCAATTTGAGTCCCATCACCATCCTCATAGTAGCCATCCTCTATGTGCACGTGGCAGGTGGATGCCTTGTGTTTCAGCCAACCGTACTGGGCTCCACACATACTGAAGATGAAGGGGCATGATCTTCTGGCCTTATTTCTCAATACTCAGACTTTTTGTAAGAAACAGGATTCTTTCATATCTCAACAGCAGCAACTCTTCCCAGGATTGTAATATTGTCCTCGATGTCTTTTCTCCAGCTTCGTTGAATGGTGCTTCATTAATCAGTAGCTTCCATGATGCCCCCTCATAAAATAGTGATGCTATATCCTGAGCTGAGTTTTCTAATGGGGATCTTTCCCATTCTCATTAGCATATCCAAGGCTCTCAGCAGCCTCAAAGAACACCTGTAATAATCTTCAACCTTTTTAAAGATGGGAATGTTTCTATTTGCAGCACTCTTATAAACACCCTGTCAAACAACAGTTGGGAAAGGTTGCTTTGGACCACACAGTAAACCAATTTGAGGCCCCGAACGTTTCCATCTATCCCTTAATTTTGGTATTAAAATAATAACTTCACAAGCTCCACTGTAAATGGCCATGTACCATGGATATGGATATCCTGTAATGTGCTTAACTATTTGCTAATTGTCAGATATTAGTTTTATGACAGCTATTACAAATGATGCTATGATAAATTTCTTAGGCATAAATATTTGTCTGCATTTCTGATTATATCCTTAGAAAAGATTCCTGGAAATAAATATATTTTTAAGGCTCTTGATACATATCACGATTTTTGTTAAAGGTTATAACTAAACCTAAATAAACTAAAGGTGGTTTATTCTTTTAGACACAGAATGTGAGAAGGCTCATATATTGTGCCATTGCCGAATTAAGTATTAAAAAATAAGTAAAATCCTAGAAATTTGTAAAGGAATGCGTCTTACCTCATTTTAATACTAGTCGCAAATATGATAAGATTTATATTCTCCAAAATCAAACCAGAAGTTATTGCCTGTGTGAGGAACAGCCAAGACTCAGAGGAAGGAAAGATGATGGGAGTTGTGCTGGCGAACTCCTAATTGAACATCCAAACTGTCTTATGTCATACCAAGCTTCAACAGCTAAAAGAAATGCCTAATTAGGGTTTCATAAATGTGGATCTATGATCAGGAAGAGACCATATTGACCCTCAGCTAGAACTGCAGGGACAAACTGTAACTGAAAAGTGATGGAGCCAGAAGGCAGCAAAAATGAAATGTTACTGCACAATTCAACCAAGACCAGAAAACTAGGCAAAGTGACCTTTCCCGTGGGGAGAGAACTTTCATTCCTAGCTGCTTACAAATCACTGGTGAACCTTACTGGCACCAGGTGTGTTCCATGCTATTTCTTTAGTGCTAGCCTAAGGTATGGCACCTCTCTTGAATACCTGCAGATGTGATTCTGTGCTAGGTGATTGTAGCTGCTCTTTAGCTAGTATGTGAAAAAGAGGTCAGAGATCCAGAGACAAACACTGAGGCAGTGCCCATGTCAGAGGAGGTCCTTGATAGGAGTAGGCTGGCATTCCAGGGTGAGTTGGGACCAGGAAGCCTCTTATGAGGTAGAAGACAAGCAGGGCGGTTCTCTGCACAGCTCCTCACAGTTTCATTCAAGTACCATATCAAGGACCACACTGGACATTCCAACTAGTTTCCCCATTAAATCAGGTATTTTTCAGCTATTCAACATGTGACACTTTACTTTGCCAATTACTGTGTCAATTGCTATGTCTCCTAAGAGTAGCAAGAGCCACCAGAAATTAAGAGACAGGTCCTTGGCTTTCAAGATTTTCAGTCCAACCAGGGGTGGGGGTGGGGGGGAAGGGAAGAAGAGAGGGAGAGAGAATCAAGCACGGAAAATATTCAAATGTAGTGGGAATTGAAGCAAGTGTTGAAGCCCAGGTGCAGAGCACTGTGAGGCCCCAGGCAGTGAAGGCACTCTTTGCCGCTGGAAAAAGTGGAACTTGTGAATACTGAAGGACTGTTAAGGTTTCAGTAGGAAGAGAAGGTAAAAATAAAGGTCAAGCAAATGGCGCAGAAACGCCTTATGCCTCTAATCGGTCATTTTTCTACTGCTGACGGCAGCAGGTTTGGCAACATGTGGAGCTGTCATTTCTGCAGTCACTTACCAAATGCAAAACCTATTCTGTGAAAACAACC